TATAAGTAAATATAAAGAAAAAAAAAACAGTATAAAACATAAGACTATAAAGCGAGTAGCGAAATCAGATGTACTTACATGGATGGAAAATTTTTCAAGAATGATTTAAAAATATTTTCGCAACAAGATTGCCAAATTACAAATTATGAAAACAAAAGCGCAAATTGAGTGTTACTAGAGGGTTTTAAAGTGCCGTTCTTACTGCACTGCTGAAGTGATTTGTTATTCTGTGTATTGATTTGTTAGCTACAAGGATGAACCCGAAATGGATGTGCGCAAGGTAATATTATGCTGGATAATTTAAAAAAGTTGACCATAAATAGTTTTAGAAAATAGATGTTTTATTTAAGAAAAAATATAAAATGGAAAAGAGAAACATAAATTGCCTGCTTTGCAAATAATTTTAGCCACGGATTTGCCCGAAATGGATTTGCACATGGAAAAATTTTATAAATTATCAAAGAAAAAGAAATTTAATAGATAATTTTAACACGGATTTGCCCGAAATGGATTTGCACATGGAAAAATTAACAAAGGAAGAAAATTTTAGTTGATAATTTTAGCCACGGATTTGCCCGAAATGGATTTGCACATGGAAAAATTTTATAAATTAACAAAGAAAAAGAAATTTAATAGATAATTTTAACACGGATTTGCCCGAAATGGATTTGCACATGGAAAAATTGTATAAATTAATAAATAAATTTTTAGTAAATAATTTTACCCATAGATTTGCCCGAAATGGATTTGCACATGAAAAAATTGTATAAATTAATAAAGAAATTTTTAGTAGATAATTTTTGAGAGCTCCTCACACTGTATTCATATATTTTGCTTTGGTTATATTGATACAATATCAGAAAGCACTCTTTTTTGCGGATATAATCGTGTGGGCTGATGAAAAGATTATATCTTTTCATTCCCGGTTTTTTTAAATAAAATTTCATCTTTTTTTTCTTCTTAAACTGTTTGTTACTTTTTTGCTTATTATTTCCCCCCTTTTCCTTATGTCTATAATTTTTCTTTGTTTTATCTTCATTTTGAACTTATCTAATGAGTTCTGTTTACTTGCAGCTTATGCGCAATAAATGAAACTTATTGTTTTTCTTAACGTTCATCGTGTTTTCTTGTATTTATATACATATATATATATATATATTAACTCTTGAAATATTTAAGAAGAAACGACAGTGATTATATAGTCTAATATTTGTCTCATATAATTTTTTTTTTACTTCGGCAACTGTAGTCATATTGATAATCTAAATATGAAATTTAAATACACATATGATTTTTTTGCTATAATATGTTTCAATACTAGCAGAAATTTGCGAGCCAATTAAATTAGAACTTCCAGACTATCCAAATAGAGCAGCACCTTTTGTATCTCTGGGCATATCGCATGTTTGAAATAACAGTCATATATTTGAGCCAACTTTATATCAGCCAACTTTTTTATTTATTACTAAATTAAGAAAATGCATATTGTAACTTAAATACGTAAAGATTAGAAATTTTGTCCGTTTAATTTGTCTTAAAGTTTCTTACTTACGAAATTTTCCATTTTATGAGCAAAATAAATGTTATGACTTGTTTCATTCTAAAAAATTTGATCCTAAATATAAAATAATACTGAAAAAACTTAAAAATTTAACAGCAAATATGCTGAAATACACTCACGGAAAACAGAAAAAGTCTTCAAAACCATCCGTGGAATCGTCTTCAAATTAAAATATGTCATTTAAAGTCCCAACATCAAGTGCAAAGTTTTCTATAGTTTTATCTTTAAAGCAACTTTTTCAAATTCAAATTTTTTATTTTTGTGCGCAATATTTCTCGACTTATTCTAATAAAAATATTATTATTAAACTTGGTAGGTTTGAGTATAACATGTTGCCTAAATTCATACCAGTATATAAGTATAAGTAAATATTTTATAATTTTCAGTCGAAATAAAAAAAATTTATTTATAAAATTCAAGGAATCAAAGATTTTTAAAATTTAAAATATATATATATTTTTATGTTTCAAATTTATTTGAAATTTGAGTATATAGTTCTATACAGTGCATATTTGACTACCTATAAAACGTTGTTTCAAGTCATTAGCGTGGTTTATGACCATTACCGCTTGTGCAAGATGTCATAAAATCTTTTTCTTCGTCAAATTTTAATTCTACTTGTAGTTAAATTATAAACGCTTCTTGCTTTGCTTAAAAAAATATTTACTTTAATTATTGCGTGCATTTGTAAGAGACCCTGGTGAAAACAATCCATAACTCTAAGTTTAAGTTCAGATAAGTTACTTAAAGTTAAAAAAGAGTGATCAGTACGTAAAAAAATAAACTGACCATCCCAAATTGACTCCCATCGAATTTAAAAATACATCTTTTTTAAGATCTGATTTGAAAGTTATTCAGAGTGGTCCGTTATTTTCGATTTTGCACACTACACATTAATGCTTTCTCGATGAAATAAAAAATATCTAGATTCCTTAAATCAATGTAAAAGGAACAAACATGAATGAATACGTAATTTCTTACAGCATTCATTATAACAAGAATAATGCATGTTAATACTTAGTTCTTCCAAAACCATGCTTCGAATTTAATATGATTACTTTTTTTAGGATTAGAGGAAAAAGTATGAAAATTGATTTTGAAATTGAATGAAGTTTTTAGAAATGCTATTAAGCAAAATTGTAACTATATTAAAAGTTTTTTCTAAAAAAATTTACAGAGTTTTATTCGGTTACAGGTCAGAGACACTAACTGTTTTAAATAAAGAAAAATTATATATATATATTGAACTAAAATATGCATTCTATGTTACCGATCACGTTCATTACTCTAAGTTAATAATAAAAAATATCGTATTAATACATTAAATTAAAAAATAGAATGTAACATTTACTGTAAAAAAAGATTACTATACAACAGAATATATCTCGTTGTAATATCAATTTTAGGAACGCAAATATAAGTTAAAAGATCGATCATATATAATGTAAATAATAAATAATATCAATCTTAAGCACGCTATCTAAGTAAAAAGTAATATCATACATACTATAAATAATAAGCAATATCATATTTAAGCACGCTATGTAACTATGCATAGTTATGCAAAATAAAGTAAAAGACTTAGTTGAAAAAGTGTTTTATAAAACTTCGTTAAACTTTAAAACAAAACAATCTATGCTTAAAATACCGAATCTCTTAAAACCACAATATTTTAGTTATGAAAATATTTTGTTTTAATTTTAAAAATAAAATGCTGAAAATAATCCACATTACAATCTCTGCTAATCTAATATTTTCCAATATTATCAAGAAATAAATAAGTAAATATATTTCTTCGGTAAGCTAAAACTAATTATTTTTATTAAATTCACAATCAATATTTAGTTTTTTATCAATTTATATGTTTTGATTAATCAAAATCTAACATAAATATTTTTATTAAGTGTGCAATTTTCACTCAAGTTAAGGTTTCATACATTGAATTTTTAAAATCAGGATAGAAATAAAAAAGATTAAGAATTGAAAATAAGATAATCACAAACCAACAAATAGTTCTTCGATGCTTTCTCAGAAAAAAAACAGTCGAAGAACTATTTTGTCACATTCCAAAGTTATTAAAGTTACATCTGGTGTTTTAATTTTTATAAGACTTTAACCCAAGAACTTGAACAATTACCTATTTTCCAATCAAGAGAAATGTAAAGTAAATTTTAAAAAATATGAATTATCAAAATTTTGGTCAAGTTGCACAAAAAATATTTTTGTTTATTAAGAAACAAGACTAAACTAAGCTGCTAAATATATTTCTTGACCTGTCAAAATAATTATCTCAAATAATCAATTAAGCAAAAGTTTTTTTAATTAACTTTTACTAATTAACTTTAACTATTTTACAAATTATAAAATTCTATAAAAATAATGTAAAACATTTGACATTTTACAAGGTATAAAATTAATGTAAAACATTTTTTGTCGCTTTTATCTTGTTTTTCTTCTTTTGAAAAAGTGAAACAGGAAAATAACCAGTAAAAAAAAAAGGATTTTGTAAAATATTTAAAAAGATTTAGTAATTTCTCGCAAAAATTTATGATTTTAAACAATCAATTATGCAAAAGTTTTCAATTTTTAATTGACTTTTGCAGCTATTTTAACACAATATAAAATGCTAAAAAAATAATATAAACTATTTTAGAAAATGTTCCCTAATTTTGTTTTATTCTATTTTTTCTTTAAAAAAAGAAGCAGAAAAGAAATAGGAAATGGTCAGTTAAGAAAAGGATCTTGTGAACAATATGAAAAAGTTTAGTAAATAATCATAAAAAATTTATGTTCTGGAACAATCAGTTAAGAAAAAGTTTTCCATGTAACTTTTGAAACTAGTTTCACACAATACAAAATGCTAAAAAATTAATGCAATTAATTTTTAAAAATATTCCATATTTTCGATTCCATCTATTTTTCTTAAAAAAATAACTAGTCAAGACAAAAACCTTGTAAACTATTTGAAAAAGAATTAGTAATTTCTCACAAAAAATATATGATCTCGAACAATCAATTACGCAAAAGTTCTTCAATTAACTTTTGCAACTATTTTAACACAATATAAAATTCTAAAAAAGTAATGCAAACGAAATTAAAAAATATTCCATATCTTCGCTTGCATATTTTATACTTTTGAAAAAAGAGAAACGGGAAAATTACCAGCCGAGAAAAGGATCTTGCAAACTTCTGCAGAAGAATCTTAGGAGGAAACGTTCGATCCGTTAGAAGCCACAGCTGTGAAAGCTCTCCAAATGCTCTTGTCGAAGTGCCTCTTGCAAAGTGCTGACTTCGACTGCTCCGGTTGTTATAGTGTGTCGCTTCGGTTCCGGAAACCGTCTGCTAGATATTATTTTGTTTGTGAGTGTTCCCCCACACCTTCTCCCCTGCACATTTATAAGTCTACACTCTCTTCTCAGTTTCCAATCAGGAAGCAAAACAGAATTGCGCATGCTTCATCTTCTTTCCATCAAAGGCCTAGGGCTGCCTCCCACCTGTTAGTAAAGTCCTGGAAACAGGAGATGAGGCAGATAAATTTCTGCATTACTTTTTGTTTGTAAGATAATATGGTAACGGCAAAAATAGTAATAATATCAAATATTTTGTTTTACGTCAGTAGAAAGCAAAGGTGCATAGCTACAGCTAAAAAAAATAAGTTTGGATAGTAAAATATTTGCGTTATCTAATAATAAGCTTATAATGATAAAAAATAATTGTTTGCGTGTGTGTCTCTTTCTCTCTATTCTTCCTCCAAAACCATTTAATCTGAGGTTTCGAAGCTTGGACAGCGAGTATAAGGGGGAATTTTAGCTCTCGATTCAATTATTTTTATTCGAATTTCTATTAGATTGGTCAAGAAAGAGGTTTGAAAAAGAAATTTATCTCATAAATTCATTAGGCATTGTTAGAACATACTCCGTAAAATCCATCTTTACTGGAACCTTTAATGGAACAAAACATCTGATATATCATAATTTATACAGTACTAGCGACCGTAAAATAATATTTTTTTATTTCCAAAGCAGCAGGCGATATAGACATTATCCTAACGCCTCGTAAAATCAATTAATTACTCTAATTAAATAAATATTACTGTAAAAAGTACGGTAAAATGGTTTTTATGGAAAAAATTGATTTTTAGGATGTTATTCCTAAAGCACCGGTACTTTATACCGTAATTTGATAGGGAATATATTTCAGTGTACTGAGTTTAGTTTACCTTACTTCTATAAGTTGAACTTCTAAAAACGCAATTTATTTAGTGTAATAGCAGAAGTTGCCAGTAAGATTGAGAAATCCCAATAAAAAAAGTATCGAAATTATTTTAACTTTATTAACTGCAACGGCACATATCTGTCAATTTTCTGCATAATTACGTAAATTTAATATCCCGTATTATAGATTGTTTACCCATGCAATGAACGAATATTAAACTTGTGCTAAATAAAATATGTTATAAATAAATTATTATTGATAATAAATAATTTCTAGATTTTAAAAGCAATTTTTATCATTCTGCAGCTTTTTCTTTGCTTTTCATTAATTTTTATAATTTTGTAACAAGCAAATCAATGCTTCCCTATAGAGCAATACATTGTGGTAACAAAGTCATTTTAAATGCTAAGAAATTTTCTTATAGACAAATTTATTTTACAACTCTTTAAGAAATGAAATTTAAACAAGTTTCGAAGACAGTTTTTATTTCGGTTTCATATTAAAACACTGGTGTAAAGATTTTGCAAGGAATAGTAACGAATTTCAAATGAACAAAAAATACTTATTTGATGTGAAGAAGAAAAGTATTTTTAAATGTAAATTAATAATAATAATTCAATGGTTCTGAAAATGATATTTTCATTCATGTGATATAGGAGTACTTATTAATAGTAGGCGCTCTTTTTAATAATTACGATTAAGACAATAATTTTTTTGATGTTCTTCATTATTATATCTAATACACTAATTACCAGCTTCTTTTATTAGTGGTCAAATTCGTAAGAATCAACAACATTTTTTCATTCCAAGAACTATATTTATTAATAAATCTTCAAAATCTGGATAAAAGTTTTGTACTATAGTTTATACTATAGTTTTCTTGGATAGCGTCAAGACGGTACCAAAATATATTAAATACACATGGAGTAAAAGATTGTAATAAATTACAGAATTGTACGGTAATAACAATTATTTTAATGTTATTACCATGCTGTATGGTAATGGCATTCGTGTTAATAAAACCACAATACGTGGTACTTAAACCATTTATTTGGTAATTTATGTCCGTTCATAATGTAACAGTTAACCCAAAATTATCCTTTCTAAAAATATGATTCTTATTACCACCTATGTAATAATACCAAACTAAAAAGTAAATGTATCCAAGTAAATGCTTTTATGCCATGCTTTAAAGTATCATGATGAAATTACCGGCTGGTATAATGAAAGGATTGCTGTAATGGGAATTCGAACTAAGAAGCGTATATTGCATTAGTAATTTAAAATGTTAAAAATAATAACAAAAATAATTTTATTTCCTCGAACTTTTACAGTTTTCGTCTTGAAAGATGTGAAAATTCTGTATTATGTAGAAATATAGTTAATTAGTGCACAAAAAGTGTCGAATATATACACACACACGCATGTGCATATATATATATATATATGCACATGCGTGTGTGTGTATATATTCGACACTTTTTGTGCACTAATTAACTATATTTCTACATAATACAGAATTTTCACATCTTTCAAGACGAAAACTGTAAAAGTTCGAGGAAATAAAATTATTTTTGTTATTATTTTTAACATTTTAAATTACTAATGCAATATACGCTTCTTAGTTCGAATTCCCATTACAGCAATCCTTTCATTATACCAGCCGGTAATTTCATCATGATACTTTAAAGCATGGCATAAAAGCATTTACTTGGATACATTTACTTTTTAGTTTGGTATTATTACATAGGTGGTAATAAGAATCATATTTTTAGAAAGGATAATTTTGGGTTAACTGTTACATTATGAACGGACATAAATTACCAAATAAATGGTTTAAGTACCACGTATTGTGGTTTTATTAACACGAATGCCATTACCATACAGCATGGTAATAACATTAAAATAATTGTTATTACCGTACAATTCTGTAATTTATTACAATCTTTTACTCCATGTGTATTTAATATATTTTGGTACCGTCTTGACGCTATCCAAGAAAACTATAGTATAAACTATAGTACAAAACTTTTATCCAGATTTTGAAGATTTATTAATAAATATAGTTCTTGGAATGAAAAAATGTTGTTGATTCTTACGAATTTGACCACTAATAAAAGAAGCTGGTAATTAGTGTATTAGATATAATAATGAAGAACATCAAAAAAATTATTGTCTTAATCGTAATTATTAAAAAGAGCGCCTACTATTAATAAGTACTCCTATATCACATGAATGAAAATATCATTTTCAGAACCATTGAATTATTATTATTAATTTACATTTAAAAATACTTTTCTTCTTACNTATATATGTAATAAAATCAGACTCAGAATTGTGTTGCCTGATTTGGCTCATTGTAATAGTTATAGACATTCCGGTGTTTAATTTTAGTAATTAAAGCATATTAAAAAGTAGAGCTACTGCATTTCAAACAGAGTAGAAATGTTAAAAATGAAAATTTTCTACAGAACAAAGAAGGCGATCTATACAAAACGTTATATTGGCTAAAAAGACATTTACTTTAAATCACGAAATTTAAAATCCTGTTCTTGGGTTTTATTTGAAAAATATATATATATATTGCAAAAAATGTCAGTAGGAGGCACTGGAGTGTAGCAAAATACTCTATAAGATGTTCCAGAACTTCGATTCTTCTCAATTTTCTCAGATGTTAAAACAGTATGTTCCACTACAGTTTTCTTCAAACATGCCGAATAATGATCTTTTCCATCTGTGCTATAGCTACGATTTACTTTTCGTAAACTAATTCCTTTAAAAATCTTTATAACCGGATACCGCTGAAGGCAGATGTTTAAATTAAGAAACTTACCGCACTTTCCGAAATCGAGAATTTGCAACGGTAACAACTGTGAAAGGCGGTAATGCTCGAGACAAACTTTAATTTGAAAAATTATGAAAAATATTACTTTTAACATATTGCTAAATTTAAAAAAAATTATTTTTTCATAACCATTAGATTCATATTTTTAAAACTTTCTGATTAGCAGAACATGATTAAAAAAAAATGCTTCTTCAATTTGTAAACAATTTCATATACTTTAAACTTTTTTTAGTAATTATACTTGAATTTTTTCCTTTTTCTTAGTAACAATAAGAGGAAAAAAACTAAACTCCGCTCAACAGAGTTTGAAGAAGATAGGATGTCAGAGAACATTTCCACCTTTCCAATAGAACCTTTTTAAATAACGCGAAAGTCAGGGGCAATATTTCGGAGAAGGATCTATGGGACGTTCAAATTCCCTGGGGACGTGCATAGCTTCGTAAAAAAGAGTGTGGCAATCGCTGCAAGAAATAGAATGTCCCAAACAGGAACAGCTGAGTTCGAAAGAAGACCTTTATAGTAAAAAATAATTTTTCACTTTGAAAAGTATAACTATTTCTTAAGATATATTTTCTTTGCAATTTAGAGCAAAGTTGAATGGGGAAAAAATTTCATTGGTGTTTAAAACATGTTAAAATGATGTTTAAATGTTTTGTATTAAATGAAATAACAATAAATGTACATAATTGGCATATTTTACGCCTGTACTGAAAAATAAATCTTAAAATGGTTTGGGAAATTATGCTATTTTAAGGGAAATTTTTGGTCATTGCCCGTACAACAAGTGCTTGAAGCATATTGTAAAATTCCGGATCAATTTACGGTAAAAAGTAACGGCACTTAAAGTGCCGATACTTTTTACCATGAAATCAATTTTTCCCGTAAAATTTTTCAGATACTTACTATAAAATCACCGAATCGCTGTAATTAAATTATTATTTGTGCTAAAATTACAGCTTAACAATTTTATAAAAAATATATAAAATTTGAAGAATAAATGGAAATTATGGCTAAACAAATTTTACGGATGCTGCACTCAGGGTCCGAGCTTTTTATGCTGTAACTTGATCCGGAATTCATTTACAGTGTATATCCGTCCGAAAGTGTAAGTTACCTAGATTAAGAATTCATGCAAGTAAGAATACTATCTACTCTGTATCGTTAGATCCTGTTCTGTATCGCATATATTGTGAGAAAAATAAAATATATTACACGAAATCTCTGGCAGCAAAATTGCTGGAGAACATTCATTTACTTCAACAAAACTAAACAAAAAATTCTTCGAACGAAACAATTTTTATCAATGGGACAGGGCATGATAAATGCTTATAAAGTTAATCTCAAAAAACTTATCATCGATTGTGATCAAGAAACTGTCCTTATGTTGTTAAGCAATTCG